CCGTTTACGCCACACCGTAAAACATAATATGTTAAATATAGCAATTTTTTCAAAATTCGATATATGCGTGAAAATTATAAATAAAATAACTTTAATATGTTTTCTTTTCTATTGTAAAGTTACCATTAGCTGCACTTTCAGGAAGGTGTGACCTTGAAATACTTGATAACGAGGCTTTCAGAGCGTTAAGGCACTATAAAAACAATCAACTTGCATGATGTTTTTTAAATTGTGCGTGCTATTTGTAGATATATGCAGCCTTTGTGAGAAACTGACAGAGGCAAATCTGTTCTGGGTGCGATGGAAATTACTGGTATATATAAGTAATATCAGAACTCGATCAAAAATAAGATGGAGCAGAAAGGAAGCTTCATAAATGTCAATGACTACACAGTTGAAAATGACTTTAGAATCCCATCTAAGATTATGTATTACTTAATTGATTAAGTTAAAAAGAAATTTTCTGAGTGAAATCTGTTTTATACAGGCAGCAACCTTTTAAAGCCCTCTCCATTCAAGCCCATAACGGTTCAGTACGTGTACATTGAACCAAAGTTTAATTTTTATGTAGAATTAAGATCCAATCCAGGTATGGTTTTGAAACGTGTATTTAAAATTGAAACAAGCTTACATATATGATCAGTCATGCACTTAATGAAATGTTTATAAATAATTGTTCCAAGTAATACATGCTGTTGATTTACTATAACTTTACTAAATATTACCTATATAAAAGACTGTCCTAAATATTAACGATGTATTCAATATTTCTTTCATTTTGCCAATTTTCATTGATTTTTGCCACCATTATCTGTTTATCTGCCCGCACGCGGAGTTGAGCTCAGTTTTTCGTTGATCTTGTTCTAGTAATTGATATCTCCTCTATGCAAATATATGCATACAAACACATAAACTGTTGCCCTAAATTCCACGTCCTGCTTTAATTTCATCAGACACCAGGCAGAATAATTCCGGTCGAGCAATCCCGTTGAAGGAGGTTGCAAGCACAGTAGTGTATGCCCCCATGTTAGGCACGTACAACCAGTCTCCTATGTCCAGCTCGGGCAATAGGATGTTCTGTACCAGGAGATCAGTAGGGCTGAGTGTTGGACCCCACAATGTGCTTTGATAGACCGGCATTTTGTCTTTTTCCTACAATATTACACAAATGTTTTTTTTAAACCTAAACACTATATACCAGCAAAGACGAAATATACAAAACGTTGCAATCTGCAAGGACTTCTGCAAACTGAAAAGACAGCATGCAGAAATGGATATATAGAAGTATAAATTATGGAAACATGGTAGGAGACAAAAAGGAGAGTGGGTCTTATACAGAGTTATTGGGTTATTACACGTCACTATCACGTCAAAGCAACCGCGGATATTCTTGAATGAGGGAGGTCCATAAAAACACGCCTTTTAGTGAAGTTTTTAGTGGGCTTTTTTTTCCAAAAAATATTTACCCAATCAATTATATTTCTAGTAAGCATACTAAAACTATAAAGGTTGAGGCGTTACGTTGACGCTCATCTTGCGGTGTAGATCCTGTTTACTCGATACATACCTTGAAAACGTAAAACTCTGCATTAAGCCTTTCGACATATGATGGCATTGTGAAAAGGAATGCCCCATGCATTCCATCATTGAGATAGTACACGTATGACTGTTCAGGGTCCTTAAAGTGGCAGGAAAAAAGAAACCAACATGAAAATAGGTTGAAATATATATGACAGAAAGACTGATACACTTATGTCAAAATTAAAAAAATAGCATGTACCTTGTCTGAGGGCGCCGAGCGTTGAACTCGTTTACCGATAACTCTAAGTGCCAAGGTGAAGGCCGACTGAACGTAGTATGTTCCGGGTTCAGCAATGACAACAACATTTTCTTCCTTGGGGAAATATTCGTCCAGAGCCGTGTTTATGTCTTTGGCAACATCAGCAAATGTTGGTTTGCCTTTGACTGCATAACCGGGGAACCCTCCACCGATGTCCAGTAAGCTGAAGTTGTAGCCAATGGCTTTGGCTTCATCAAAGATTTCACGGCACAAGCGTATGGTGTTTTGGTAGGCCATGGAATCGAAACAGAATCCACCAATATGAAAACTAAGCGAAACATTACTTTTGTGTAACACTCTGAAATGTCACACTATAACAAACAAAATATTTTTGAATATCACAGCATTGTAATTACTTTAGTAAGTGTTATATTAAATATTGCACATAACAACTAATCGCGGCTGAATTTCAATTAAATTTAAAAATCAAAAAAGCAAAGGGAAACATTAAACAAAAACTGAAAAAAGGTCGAGGTCTGATAACAATTTACAAAAAACAACATCAATTTAGATATGTGTTTTAACCTACGTTAAACTGCAGAAGTACAAGAGGTGTAATTTAAAACTATTCGAGTTTAGTAAAGATTGTGGAATACCTGACCCCTACGACCACCAGTGTCATTTCTTTTGCTTTCTCAAGAAGTACTTTGCATTGGTCGACGGCGCAACCATACATTTCGCCGTATTCATAAACACCCTTGTTTACTTGTGGGCAAATCCGCAACACAAGCCTGGCGTCAGGAAAGAGACTCTGTATCTTGATTAATTCATACTTGTTGTCAAAGGTCATAAGGTCGACTCCTTGTTCTGAGGCACGTTTGATGTCTTGGGGATCTTTGCAGGGATGGGCATATATAATCCGATCTGTTCCCACCCCCTGGTTTAGAACCTGTTGGAATTCAGCGCTGCTAGCGCAGTCAAACCCCGCCCCAAGTGCCGCAATGGTCTTCACGACAGGCTCAGTGTTGTTACATTTCACGGCGTAGAAGGGTTTGACACGAGGCATCAGTTTCACCCAGTGCTTGTGCTTGTTAACGATGTCATCCAAGTTGACAATATAGAAGGGACGCTGCAATAAATTTTATAGAGCCTCAAAATGACCACAAGTATAACGTAATGTTCCACGTTTTTTGCTTAAACCTACATTGTTCGTTTACATTTGCTTCCATGTCCATTATCAAGTTGGTGCAAGTATTTTATCACTACGCCTATGGATCTGCTTAAATAGTTATGTAATTGCCATAAAAAAGAATGTCACGAATTGAACGTTGTTGACAAACGGGTGTTAATTATTCTTACGTTGATATTTCCTATTTCGCCCTTTATGACACAGAATTACGTAAATAGAAAATCAGAAAGTTTGCAACGTATGTTTAGAATCCCTTAAAGAATAATAGGTTTACTTCGTTTAGCACTAACCAGTGTTTAAGTCTAACCAGTGGATAAATTCTCCTAACACCCAACTGAACAACGGTTGAAATTGTGTTTTATAAACAGAGTTTAAACAGCCGATTAGTTTATCCATTTAAACACTGGACAGTTAACTAACCGGCTGTATAAACACTGTTTATGAAACACAATTTTAACCAACTTTCAGTTAACGGGTGTTAGGAGATTTTATCCACTGGTTAGACTAATACACTGGTTAGTGCTAAACGTCCTTTATGAAATTGGGCCCCGGTGTTTTACTTTACCCGTGTGCCATGTAATGTCGACCGTCAATCAAAGTTTTTTAATCATTTCAATCCTCATACTGGCAAGGGTAAATGAAAAGTTAAATCTATTAGAAAACGATTCACTTTTTCACCATCACTAAATGTATGAAAGCCACAACCAAAAAAATTGACAACAAAGACAGGACGCTTCAATAAATTCAATAGCGCCTCATAACGGTATTTTAGGTTACCATTAAAGATTTGGCAACGACTCCAATGTGACCAAGACAACACAAACTCCTAAAGTAACTTTTGAAGGAATAAACCTTGAAACCATTGGGATACATTTATCACAGTGATGCTTGCGTACTAAAACAAACCTTAGACCTCGACATTATGTCAATGCCATGCTAAATATCTCTTAATTCTCAAATGTCATAATTACCCTGTCTTTCTCTTCCATAATCTTTTCTTGGATAACTTTCAGTATTGCCTGGTTATTGTGACGCCCTGGATGTCGCTCAATATCTTGCGTAATTCGAGGGCGCGCTGTTGTCATTTTGTTGTGGTATCTTTTCTTCTAAATAAAATCAAAGACGCATTCTAAACATCTTGTAATGTCTGATTCCACAACGAAGCAAAATAAAAAAAATGACACGCTGAATACGACAGGTGCAACAATTATATATAATTTTGAGTAACCGTGTAATTAAACAGAAGACAAGACAGTTCCTCTCAACTACTGGTACATGTTTTTGTATCAGTTGCCCTCTTATTTTAAATGAATTACACATTTGAGCTAAATCTGTTAGGACAGACCATAGAGTCATTTATCATCTTCACGTCTATATATATTCATATCTGCCTGTCACACCACCTCTGGTCGCTGATCTCATGTCACGCTTGACGATTTTATGTTCGTGTTGCGCGTTAATTTGCCATGCGGTGGAGTTGAAGAGAAACTCGTCGCGCTGGTGGCGCGCGGGTTGGCAGTGCTTGATGCCCCTTTGCTCAAGCATCAGGTATATGCGGCTCGTTACTTATAACTCGTGGCAGGCTAAATGTGCTGTACAAACATCTTTACATAACGTAGACTTAAAGGGATAACAACTGCTCATTTTGGCCAAAAAATGGATTTTCCTTGGGTAAAGGACAATTTTCTCATCCTTATTATTGGTTAATGAATCCATTCTGACATTCTAAGTTAGTCCCCGTTTTTTTCTAAAAAGTTTGGGTTGTTTGTAAAATTTCCTCAAGAGATCATTACAGAGTTAAGCCATCTGTGGAGGACAAGTGATGTGATGGCAATCACAAATTCAAAAAATTCTACTGGTCTGCGTGAAATTTTTCTGGCCTCTGAAGTACGCGCAAATAAATACAGAGTCTGAAAGATACTGTATTGTTATGCAGAGTTAAACTGCTAAATGACTCACCTGTTAGGCTACACTAACTTGGTAAAAACTATCTGCTACAACTTTCATCTAGAGAGATGAAGAACTTTTCTAATAAACGGCTGTCCTCAGAGGGGTTTATATTCACCTGCACTGTAATGAATATATATATCTGACGCTTTTTTAGATACGAGTCATGAAGTTGACTGAATGTTGCCATACACTGCATTAATTCAAATTTATGTTTTACCTAGGTATGTAATGCGTCTAACTTGACCTAGGTTACGAAAAACTCGTTTACCGATAACTCTAAGTGCCAAGGTGAAGGCCGACTGCACGTAGTATGTTCCAGGTTCAGCAATGACATCATTTTCTTCCTCGGGGAAATATTCGTCCAGAGCCATGTTAATGATTTTGGCAGCATCAGCAAATGTTGGGTTGTCTGGGAATGCATAACCAGGACCCCCCCCCCCCCCCCCACACACACACACACCAATGTGTACTAAATTTGTAGGTAATGGATATGGCTTCATCAAAGATGTGGAGCCCAACGATATGGTGAAGGGGTAAGTGATGGAACCGAAACAGAAGAGATCTATATGAAAACTAAAGAAAATTCAGGATCACTTTATGAAATGAATACAAACAAGACATTGATTAATTCCACATATTAGTTATTATTCTTTTATAAACAAGGTTGCAGAAAGGATTTCAAAGAGGGAAAATAATAATATACAAATAACCTATATTCATTAGAACGATTTAGAAAGAATCACGTTTTAAAGGTACACATGAACCGACGTCGGTGGAGCGTGGATTCCCAGTAACATATATAAACCACTTCTCCTAGTTTCTTGTACAACTCAAATAAATTCAACATGCCAAGGAATAAACTGAATAAATCACTCAATCATCCAGAAAAGAGCTTTAGACTGCTCCTCTCTTTAAATTTGTGGTCAGAAATATAACCTACTTATCTGACCTACTTTTCTGCCCCATGAACAGCATGTATGAACAGCATAGAAAGCTAGCAGAAAAACCTGTTTAAATATAATTATTCGGGTAATATTAAACAATGTCCTTTGGTAATTCTCTTAGCTATACTATTTGAAACTATATGCTGGCATTTGGTTGGCTTTTGTGGCAAAAATGACTTCATATGGATACTTAACATGATTTGTAAAGATGTGCGCCTTAAACTAATGCAGCCTTAAAACATTGAACAATATGTAATGGATGAAAACTTCATGAAAGATCATAAAAAATGAATTGTTTGAGCCCAACATAATTATTTGAGCAAAATTAAATATGGATTGGAAATCCAATTACCAACCCTACAAGGAATATTTCAAAACTGTAATTGTCAGTTTTCCAGTCTGACCTTTAAAATGGGCCAAAGACCATGTTCAGTGTCAGAATCAACTTCTTTACTAATGAGTTTCTGTGAAACTTCAGTTTTACTTATGTCTATCTTTTATGGTTAAAGAGATATCATGCTTAATGCCTACAAGGCTTTCTATGTTACTTTGTACTTTGTATGTGAAGTGTAGTAAACACGTAGCAGTGTTTAAGAACGTATATTCTTTACATGGGAAGATAAAAATACTACAGTCTGAAATAATAATAATATCTACTTCCATATGTAAGACGCGGTATTAGATTTTTTATTTTCCTGAAACAAACAAGCAAGGAAAATTTTCAAGTTTCCCCAAAACTTCATAACTTATGGAGAAAATAACCAATCAGCCCGGAATTCAAAGTCAAGATGTATTCCAATCCATAAAATCATTCTTGTAAGTTTTCGTACAATTAATATCATGGGTTTTTGTTAATGGTGTTAATAATAATTATAGTGCAATAAATAGGGTTTCTGGCGTTTCTGTCAATTTTGATACAATATTACATTATCCTGAACAACATAACTACCATTAATTTTAATTATATACAGGGTATTCAAAAATGTGTTAGCACTCGGTTTCAATTCCATGTGTCTTCAAAGTAACATTTTGAAAATGCCAATGAATAAATGATACATTCACCAAAACTTCACTTTAAGGAAATCATCGATCAATTAAGCTGCTATTCAACCTTGGCCTGTATTTTGGTGCTATGGATAAGTTTGGTAATAATACGTTACACCCTTATCTATTTATTGCATTAACAATGAAAAGTGCACGACGACGACAAACGCCGTAGATGGCTGTTTGTGCAGTCATCTGAAATCACGTTGAAAATAACCAAGAATACCAAAACTAACATGGTGACAGACTTATATCAATAAAAGCATAGATTCTAAAACCTTAAAAACACGGAGGTAATGTGCGAATTTGTGACCTCTCATGAATTAACGACATCTAAAAAGCGAAATATGTTTAACTAAATCTTTTCCCACTTTAATACTTAAACATAACTAAGAACATAATTGTCTTATTTACAATTATCATTTATCTGAAATTGAAAAATAAAATGGATTCTTGTGGCTATGTCAAAGCATGGGCAAGATTATCCTTTTTCATTCAGACGTACTCTTTGGGTTCAAGGGTGATTCGTAAAAACATGCCCTTGGACATTTGTCAACTATTATTTACTATATATTTACCCAATCAAACCATACTTAAACCTAAAAAAGTGAAACCTCATATTAAAGCTTTTTATTAACTGTCTAAATACTAACTACATACCTTGATAACACGAAAACCTGGAATCGCTTTGTCAACCAGCACTGTGAAAAAGAATGACCCATGAATACCATCATTGAGGTAGTACAAGAACGACTGTTCGTGGTCCTGTTCTGGTTGCAGGAAAAATGAGAACTAAAATTATATTATATGTAATGAAGCAGCCACAGACACACAGACAAATTGATAGATGCATCATGTACACACACATATACATGTAAATTGTATAAAAACATAAAGAATAAACAGATTTAAATACACGTACCATGTCCGAGGCTGCCGAGCGTAGTATGTTCCAGGTTCAGCAATGACAACAACATTTTCTTCCTTGGGGAAATATTCGTCCAGAGCCGTGTTTATGTCTTTGGCAACATCAGCAAATGTTGGTTTGCCTTTGACTGCATGACCGGGGAACCCTCCACCGATGTCCAGTAAGCTGAAGTTGTAGCCAATGTCTTTGGCTTCATCGAAGATCTCATGACACAAGCGTATGGTGTTTTGGTAGGCCATGGAATCAAAACAGGTGTCACCGATATCGAAACTTAAGAAAAAGTTGAGTATTCTGTTAAATATTGTGAGGTACCAAAGCACAGCAAATGAAATACCGCATCAAGTATAGAAATTTACACAGTTGATTTTAGTCTCTTTGTTTATCAAAGTGGCAGCGCGGATAAATTTTCAAAATGTAGCAATTCTAAATAAGATAAAAGAGTAATAATTTATAAACAAAGTGTGCCTGCCAACAATATTCACCAATATTTACAAAAAAGCGGATAAAGATGTTCAAATTAAATAAGAATTAAACACGTTCGTCTTCATCAAATATGTACCGGGTTAATTTTTTTAGTGTAAAGGTAGAAGCTATAAATAATAGAATGCTATAACAACTACCTGACACCCACGACCGTCAGTTTCATTTCTTTTGCCCTCACAATTAGTTCATTGCATTGGTCGAGGGCATAACCATACATCTTGCCAAATGTATACCTAGTCTTGTCAACTCGTGGGTGAATCCGTAACACAAGTCTTGCGTCTGGATAGAGATTCTTTATCTTGACTAACTCATGCCAAAGGTCATAAGGTCGACTCCTTCTTCTGAGGCACGTTTGATGTCTTGGGGATCTTTGCAGGGATGGGCATATATAATCCGATCTGTTCCCACCCCATGGGTTAGAACCTGCTGGAATTCAGCGCTATTGGAGCAGTCAAACCCCGCCCCAAGTGCCGCAATGGTCTTCACGACTGGCTCAGTGTTGTTACATTTCACAGCGTAGAAGGGTTTGACACGAGGCATCAGTTCCACCCAGTGCTTGTGCTTGTTAACGATGTCATCCAAGTTGACAATATAGAAGGGACGCTGCAATATTTATAATATAATATGCATATTAATGTGTATGTTTGATTAATGCAGATGACACCAGCCCAAATTTAACCAAAAAGGAATGTGTTTCATATTCTTTGCTTTAATCCACATATACATTTACATGCTTTTCCATAACCAGGTCAATTAATCTGATGGAATAGAGATACGATTGTCATTCAAATGAAAAAATCTAATGGTGCCTTCAAAAGCATGTTAGTAATTGAAGCCCGTCAATATGGGCAACTTATATAGGTGATTCTAGCATGAAACACTAAGTTTCGCCTTTGATCACACGCATGAAAAGGAAAATCAAAATATCTGCAACGCATGTTTTAAAAGCCAGTACTTGTTTCAGTTCATATACCAGATGGTAAAATGGTTACCGTTTCAAAAGAAACCATTTATATTTTACCTACTGTTTGTATGAAAACTGCCCTTTCGACCCATTATCAACGAGCATTATTACATGACTGCCTCGTGAACGTGACTTCTGGAAGTTCCAGGTGTAGCTGCACTCAGTCAAAAAAGGGAAGTCTCCTTTACTGATTGAATTTATTGAAATCAAACGTAAAACTGAAAGAAAAATTAAATAAAACAAAATAAATAACAGAACAAAAAATGTAGCGAAAAATACTGAAAACAAATTAAAATACAAAATTACCTAAAAATTGATAACAAATTTACATGAAGTACATACGAAAGTGTAAGAAAAAGGATAGACGGAAACGTTGCAAAGACCCAAAGCCGGAGAAGTTTACTTTACTTTAGCGTTGAAATAATATGACTAATCCCCGACCAAGTGTGCTAATATCGTTATAAAAGGATAGATAGACACGTTGAAAGACCCAAAGCCAGAGAAATGTACGTTATCGTTGAAATAGTTACCTTTTCCTCCGACTGGGTGAGCTAAAATGGTGTCGTTAGAGTACCCGCACCGTTCTGTGTAAGAAAGTGAAGTGAGCAAAAAGAAATAGGGAGGAGGCCTTATATACGCTGTGAAGTGAAAACTGTTCAGTGCAGGGGGTGGTACAGGCATGTTACGGTGCGGTTAGGTAAGTGCGATGGCCTGTAACGTTATAATTAGTAGAGCGAGAGAGAGAGAGAGAGAGAAAACAGAGAAAACAGAGAAAGAACGGAAAATGTACTTCGCATAAGTAAACACAGAAACTCAAATAAAAATAAATAAATAAAAATATCGCAGGCAGTTACACCAGGCTTATTATACATGTAACGGCAATAGCACGGTTAGTCACTTTGAAACGATTCACCTTTTCACCATCACTGCCAAAAGAAGACAAACCATAGGATTGTCCAAGAGATTCAGTGGCTGAGGACCCATTCAGAATAGAGGACTAACTAGTCCGAGGGTCAAATATGGCCGACCCACTTGAATACTTCCCCGAGGAATATCTATTCAGTGTCTAATAGTGGATTGGACTACAAGCTTTGTAGTGGGTCGCCATATTTGACCCTCGGACTAGTAAGTCCCCTATTCTGAATGGGGCCTAAAGCCTCGGTCACAACCGGACACACGAATTTCAGGATCGTATGTCCTCTGCGATTTTTGGGTGTTGCGGAGGCCGTGGAAGTCGTAGAGGTAGAGGAAAGTCTGCCTTGCGAGTCGCAAGGGCCACATGAGATGTCCTTTCAAGCAGGGACGCTAATTGAAAGAAGCGATGGTCGTGGAAATTGTACTCATTTCTTGAGTTTGTCTTGCATCCTGTATACGTGGCACACACTCACCACTTACGAAATGAATGCAACGCACGGCGAAAGTAGTGCCCTTTTGCGTCAGTTTTGCTTCACACTTGCCTCACACGTTTGTGGTTCAAGTACTGACGGCATACGTCAGTTTTGCTTCCTGTTCCCCTCTTCTTTCTTCTTCCTCCTCCCTTTTTTCTACTATGTAAGTTTCTTTCTTTAGCCTTTTGGAGGCATATTAAAAACTAAATTGAGCAAAATTTTGAAAATTTTGGAAATTGCTGTACACGTTACAAAAACGACGTTCATTGTAAAGACACGAGCGTGCGTCGTGAGCACGCCTTTTATACACCAGGCGTTGGGGTGACGCACGTGCGACGCATACCCGGTGTGCTCTCGACTTTGTTCGTTAGTTGTGAGGGCGTGAGCCTTACTCAGCACGCAAAGGGCACTTGCTCCTTCATTGCTTGTGACGTGCGTCTTGCACAATGCGCGTCTTTCTTGCTAACTCCGTGCGAGGGGAGCAAGTTACGCTGGCGGCCTCGCTGTTCGCAGGCTATTCGTAGAATCTTTTGGACATGTCCAACATCCTCCGTTCGGGCTGTCTGCGAACTCGAAATTGCGTAAGAAGGACTTGCGTGGGACGTGAGATTCTGCGCAAAATTTGGACGCAAACAGCCCGTAAGAACCCGTACGGCCGGTTGTGACCGAGGCTTAAGGTTACACTTCTATGGCCTTCAACAACGGTAGTTTTTCATAACACAAGCTATTTAAGTTTCTTTCACGATCGGACCAATGAATCTTGAAAGCCTAAAACCACAACCATTTTCAACCTAAACCATAGTGATTTCATATTTAAACATGCCTTACACCACAATATTATGTTAATAACATGTTAAAAAACCTCATGATTCTCAATTGCCATTATTACCCTGTCTGTCTTTTCTAATAATTTTTCGTTAATAACTTGCAGTATTGCCTGGTTATTGTGACGTCCAGGAATTGACTCAATATCTTGCGTGGTTTGAGGGCGTACTGTCGTCATTTTGTTTTCTTTAAGATGAGCTATTGTGGTATCTTTTCATCCAAATTATATTTTAAAAATCTGAAAATTAATTATAAATACAATCTTAAGATTGTTAAAATAGATAGGCATAAAACATACATGTAAAGTGTATTTTAATAATAATTTAATTTAAAAATACTGATTTCACAACGTAGCAAATACAATTATGTGAGGCACGCTGAATGTAACAGTTGCAACAATTAAATGAAGCACGTAAATGTGAAATGTAGTAATACATCAAATAAGTAGCAGTAAAAATTTTCTTACAAACTACTGCAAATTTGTTGTCACAAACGCTTTCAAAAGTAAGTCACTTTTTATATTGCTAAGAAAAAGTATTCACGCTCTTGCAAATATGCAGAAAATGCAGGGAAGGAATCTAGTAATTGGTGATTGCAATGAGTGCGCAAGGAGAAAGTGCGTCGAAAGTACGTGAGAAGCACTGTGCAGCCACCGCACGCCAGAAGTACCTATTGCGCCTGACGGGCTTTCGCACGTATTCCGCGCGCCCCGTGAATGCAAAGTACAAGCATCGTGCACTACGTACGTAGTCTACGTACGTTATGCGTACAAGGAGTAACGCAAATGGACGTAGGGCAGTCTTGTTGACTTCCTACGGTTGTTGCTTGTCCTGTGCACACGAGTCTTGCGTATTGAGATGTTCTTTTATTTGGGAGGGTATTAAACAGTCTTGCTCTTTGTTGTCTTTTTAGGCATTTTTAAAACTTGACTTCAAAGGCAGAAATAACGCTTTTTCGTTCATGCCCCTCCTTTTAAACTCACGGTCGTGCGCAAGGAGTGACCACTATTCACTCACTCAACATGCACGTGAGGTCCACTCGGTGGGTGCGTAGAAGTGCGGAGTGAGTACGTAGTGAGCAAGAAATAAGTACGTGTACCGTGAGCCTTAACCACGTGCATCGCACGCACCGTAGCCACCCAAGCGCAGTGTTGTACTTTTTCCATTTTTTGAGAATTTGCAGACCGCACGCAGCGACTGCAACCTGAGCTTCAGAGATAACTTGACGCTAACCTCTTCACTATCTTCATCGTGTCAAGTTACCTCTGACCACATTCGATTGCCCGCACCGCCCGTCAATCAAATTTAAAGCCCGCCCTCAATGACTCATTGAACGATCCAGCCAATGAACGCGAACAAGCCAAAGCGCGCTTTGTTCAAATCCGGACCAATCAAAGATAAGGCTGAATATCAGGGACTTGCCGTAACCTGTGGGCAGCGCGCAAAATACATCATCCCTCAGTAGATAATTATGCAGGGTCTCAAACTGCTCTGGTTTCAATTCCGATATACTCATATTTTGCAAAGAATCAAGAGATAACTTAATACATTCTTTTATTACGTATTCACTCGTAGGAGACGCCATGCTTTCTTTTGTGTACGGTTATGCGGAGGCAACGAAATACAAGTTTCTCATTGGACATAATTCTGGACTTCACCAATCAGCGTTTTCGCCAAACTTTGGTGAAAAATTTTGAAATATGGATTCGTTTGGCTTATATAAACTAGGTCAAACTATTTTCGTCAGAGGTAACTTGACACGATGAAGATAGGCTATAGTGAAGAGGTTAGTGTCAAGTTCTCTGAAGCTCAGGGTGAGCGACTGTTGATCATGTCTGCGACCTCCAAAAGTTGCACGATGGACTGCTCTTCACACACGAAATCCCACGTTTTCCCCAATTTTTTTGGCCATAGACCAGACGTAGAAGCCCGTACGTTGGGTTGGGACCCAGATTTTAGTCATCAAAACGCTGCTGTTACTCATAATAACGTACATGTAAATTAGGTATTTTAAGTTCAAATATTGAACATCAACATGCCGTAGTTTTAGTGTTTTTATACCCCCAACATACAGCATTGGTCAAAAAGGTTGTCCCACCCCCAATTCCATGTACTTTTATTTACAAATGATCACCTAACAGCTGTCAATTGTTAGAAATAGTGCTTTTTATTACGTATACCGTGTCTAACATGATTAATGGTTTAAAAAATACAAAATAATGGTGAAAATATACATATTTTATACCATTTAGTAAAATTTACAAGAGGTACCCCCTCAAATCGACTGTTTCACTGTGACTTCTACAGATGTAAAGAAATGTCTATAAAATTGAAAAGGCGCCATCAAATGTCACCAAATTCACACACAATTAGCATGAAGGTGTGCTCGTTAAAGGTCACGTGCCTAACAGCGTGTGCGTCTACTTCGTACTGCAATTATCTCCTGTAGACGGCGCGACAGGCCTTCAACATGGGTAACAATTCTGTTATGTGGGATATTGTCCCATTCATCCTAAAGAGCGTGGCGGAATTGGTCAAGATTATTTAGGAATTGGTTCTCCTCTGCAATGCACATTCCAATTTATGCCACAGGTGCTCAGTAGGATTAATATCAGGACTCAAAGACGGTTGTCCCATCCTCAGAGCCCTGTGTTTCTGCAACAGATCGTTTGCCAGACGAGAGCTGTGAGCAAGTGCGTCGTCACAATGAAGCCAGTAGTATCCCTGAAGTCACCTTTTGCAAATGGAGTGAGATTTCTGTTGAGAATGTTACATCAAAATGCCCCTGTTACGTTTTGTTCCAAAAGGAACAATGTACTAATACCATGGGCTTGGAATGTTCTCCAAATGCGGATTGATCTAACACCTCAGGCGATATCATCCTGCACACACCCTTCCAAGAGGCATTTTTTAACATGTCTATGGACCCTCTTTGACCATCGATGGGATACAAGAAATAATTTGATTTTGCATCAAAATCAACTTCCTTCCAGTGATGGATGGCCAGGTTCAGGTGCCTGTGGGATCACTGAACGTAGCATTCTCAGCTGATATCTCATTCCATCTTCAAGAACTGACTTTGGGTTAACTCCAGGCTTTATCATGACTGCACACTTGCTCACACCTCTCGCCTGGCAACTGTTTGTTGAAGAAACATAATGGTCTAAGAATGGAACCACCATCTTTGAGCCCTGATATCAAACTTACTAATCAACTTTGACATGTATTGGAGTGTGCAATGCAAAGGAGAACCATCCCCATAAAAACGTGGACCAACTCCCCCAACTTGTTTAAGAAGAATGGGACAATATCCCACAAAACAGAATTGTAGCCCGTGTTAGAGGCTTGTCGCGCCGTCTACAGGAAATAATTGCAGTACGCGGTAGACGCACACGCTGTTAGGCACGTGATCTTTAACGAGCACACCCTAATGCTAATTGTGTGTGAATTTGGTGACATTTGATGGCGCCTTTTCAATTTTATATTCATTTCTTTACATATTTAGAAGTCACAGTGAAACAGTCGATTTGAGGGGTTACCTCTTATAAATTTTACTAAATGGTATAAAATATGTATATTTTCACCATTATTTTGTATTTTTTAAACCATTAATCATGTTAGACACGGTATACGTAATAAAAAACACTATTTCTAACAATTGACAGCTGTTAGGTGATCATTTGTAAATAAAAGTACATGGAATTGGGGGTGGGACAACCTTTTTGACCAATGCTGTATATAGGCTAACTGAGAGGTCAATCTGTGTACGTTTGTATCTCTTTAAGTTATCACAGTGAATAAAATATCACACACACACACACATCTTTTATACAAAAAAAAAAAAAAAAACACATTTGAAATATACTTTATTATTTTGCTTAGGTAAGTGTTAATTGACTTACCGGTTAGATTATACTTGTCTTGGTTAAATTGCGTCTGTTGATAATGAATATCTCTATCCAACAGATAATGCTAAGATTTGCAGAAATTTTCCATTAATGGCCGTCCTCAGGTACAGTGGTGCTTTACCTGTATGTTTAACCAAACTAAAACACACGACTACAATGTATAAAATGGAGGTGCCTTTTTGCTTTACTAAATAAAGAGCTCGCAGGTGACGCCGGGTGTCATGCCTGCTTTTTTGTCATGATAATGCATGCAATCCAACCTAAGTAGATAAAAACACGGATATACGACACCAACAATTCTCTCCTGATTACATTTGATTATACCAGTATTGCATCATGAGTTCTGGATGGCTGCTAGTATATTGTAGCACCATACTTGATTTCCAGTTTTTTTAACCGGAATTCAGGCATAAAAATTCTGATTGCAGTAGAAAGGTGTTGTTGCGGGAAAGGGTTTCTAAATCCATGTATATCAGGGTTTCTTTGACGAATTTGTGCACGCGTGGGAAGTACATGTATTTGATATTGTCAGTCAAAAGATTTGTTTTTAATTTTGTTAAAATCTTACTTTTTATATATACCAAACGGCTAATTCACGTTTCGGTCTCAACTTGAGCTCTTTCGCAAAGTGATTACTTCAAAAGTTCGTTTCGAATCCTACCGGATAACATACTCATTCTTTTGAAAATTATTCGAATTACAAAATCAGCCTTCAATCACACCCCCCCCCACACACACACACGCACGCACACACACACACACACACACACACACACACAGACACCGCCTTCTGTCATTCTCATCTACTGCGCTTGATATAGAGATCGGGGTCCCTTGGCAACGTATGAAATTGAAAGTCATATTATTATGGCAAACCAGCAAATCTGTACATTTACAATGTATCAAGAATGCCCTTTGTGCATTTTAACTAATATCTAAAGATTTGATTTTAAAGAAAATATGAAATAACTGAACATAAGTCTCGCAATTTTAGATTTATTAATACTGAAATGTAAACCAAACACCAATACATAGAATTGTGTAGAGGTCTATAAAACACAAAAATAGAGTAAAACATATCGAAAACGTGTAAGAAAAGGTAGAAATGTGTTATTAAATAAATAATAAAGCTAAAAATGTTATAGGCCTACAGTTTCAAAATAATAATGAATCACTGAATATCATATTGACGGCTTCGTTTCATGTAATTTAGCAATACTATAATGTTTATAAATTATCACGGCCACAAAAATATCAAAGCGTCTTTAAAATAAAAGAGAGTATAGAAAAATATATATATACTTTTGTAGTAAATATATGAATAAGTATTTGTTAATATCATAAATGTTATTATTAATATTATAATAGTATATAAACTAAGATATTAAAATCATTTCAAATAAATGCATGATAAAAAAGTGCGTTGTTAAAATTGACATTAGATAAATTAAAGATATCATCAAAAAATTATACAAATTCAAAATATGATTAATAAATGAATTATGCCTCGTAAAGTTGGCGCCATAAGGCGGAATTTGTAAGGTAAATACCAGGCGATATCATATGCAGTTTTTTCAATTTTTAAATGCTAGAGAAACACACTCATTACATTCAGTCGTTGTTGTAGTTGTTCCTTTTTTTCACACGAACTTCGGATTCCAGAATATTGCTGCTGCTTGTTCCACAAACTCAGATTCCAGGTGACCTACAACTTTGGCCTTTACCGCCTGGACATCCGTCATTACGTCTACCGAGAGGGCGCCAAAGCGCAGCCCGCTTCTATTCTCTCCCACTTGCTGTCTACTCGGACCTTGTATTTGACGTACTGGCAACTGTTGCGTTCGTCAAGCGGGTATCCAGATAGACAACGTGCCCTCGGTAGAATTTCGGGTTGCCTGTATAAATTCAAACACACGTGTCAACAATTTTTGAAGGCAATGCTTATATATTTTAGGCTGTGGCCAAAAGGATTATGTTGGATCCAAGACCTAGGTTTTTAATTGTTGATGAGTATAGAACTACAGGGAATACAATATTGTTTGAATATCATTTCTAGAATTCACTATGTTGTGATTTTCAAGTTCTATGTTTGAAAATAAGGCAAAGAGTGTGTTCACAATGAACTTGGTAGTTCGAACTCACACCACAGGGATTTTTGCTGAATGCAATCAAATTGAGAGATTAACACTTCCCCTGGCGTTGAGCAGAATAAAGAGAAGCGGGTAAGTACCCCCCCCCCCCATTGGTGTGATTTTTTTCAAAGTCGAAGGGGGGGGGGGGGGTCAGGACCCCCTAACACCTCTAAATCCGCCACTGATGCATGTATGTATGTATGTACAGACAGACAGTGTGTGTGTGTGTGTGTGTGTGTG